GATAAACAACGATTTTGTATAGACCATGATAACCGAATGCATTACCGAAAAAAAGCCTTTTTGTCTGTTTCTCGAAGAAAAAGAATGTCCAGCTGACCTTTACGATGGATTGCAAGCCGGAAAAAACTATTAAGCTATTACCCAGAACGGACAGGTTCTGCAGTTGAGTTGACGCGCGACCTACAAGCTTATCCTGCTGGTAGATCGTACAGTAGTTTCATTGTGAAAAACCACTTATATTTATGCGGCCTTCAAAATTTTCAAACCGCTCAAATGTTACGTAAAGGTAAATCATGCTCTCAAAGTATATATATCGCAGGACTTCCATCTCCACTTTACAGTAAAGCATCATCGCAGCCCATGTTTACCTATAGAGCTGCGCCAAGCCACATACGTAGATATCTCGCCAAACGTCTAACTTGACATCTCATAATATGCCTGACTGACACTTTTGTAGACTTCCGTTGTGCTCAGACTGATGTGCGCCAGCCTATATCGAGGTCGACGCACTAAACATAATCGGCTTTTTATCTTTTCAAAATTTGATTCGAATGCAAATTTAATGTTTAGCAGAAAATGACAGGCATCAACCCGTACTTTGCAAGCGTTTTGACGCATAAATGGTCACACGCGGTCCCTATAGGTCGGAAAAAATAAGTTTGAAAATAAATGTGTATCTTTAGAGAGGAATATTCCACCACGAAGAGCTCGTTGTCATAGACAGATTGGGCTTTTTATACCGTCTGTGGCTGTCCGGACTGGAATCGGTGATATTGCTATATCACGATACCGCAATGTCACGTAGACGGTCGCTACGGTTTTGCCAAATGCAGTAATGATAAGTACGACTAACTCGATTCATCATTGTCAAAAGTATCCGATTGGAAATACATTACATCCTTGAGCAAATCGGCTTGACCATCGCAAGCCCCGCGCTGTACATATGCATCCAACGTAGCAGAAATACGAAAACGTTTTTGATACAAGCTAGATTAGAATGAACAAAGAGGAACTTATGACAAGGAGATATTGGTAAACTTACGGTCCACGTTCTAGGCTTTCAGCCATTTGTTATCGATGCAGATCATGCGTCATTACGCACAGTGGTATTGTCACCACATCTCTAAAAAAAGATCAAGGTGGTGATCATATTTTGCCGAGTATGTTTTCAAGGTAATGTTCAAGCCGGGTCGGCTTGATGTGGTTGCGGGTAGTTTGTCGATCTTTATTGACGATCTAACGATGAGCTTTCACATGGCCCGAGAGTGATGCCACGCATTAATAAAGCGATACGTGCAACCCATGGGTCAGGTGAGACGTCATCTGCGCCGCTGTAGGCTGAAAAGCAAGGTCTTTGTAAGTGTAAATTTCATTTAATCAAAGCGATTCATTGCACATTTATGCTGCTATATGTCTTATCTTTTGGTGGGGCAATCTTGAGAGAGAAAATACATACTTCGTTGTGGGCTCTATGTATCGGTAGTCCAGCCTGTATAAGTGGATACGCATGAATGTCAGTGTCTCATACCCTCAACGCATGCATCAGCGCCATTGACCCCTCTGCAAATTCCAGCGGAATGCTGACAGTCCATACTCATGAAATACCAAGGTTGAAAATACTGGCATTGTGGTCCTTGTGGAATTCTTAAGGATGAACGCTCGACTCGCTGATGCCAGCGAAATCGTTCATCGATAAGAATAGGTAAACCTGCTCCTCAGTATAGACTATTTTTAGCATTTCTTGTCGGCTACCATTGTTTTGACTCGAAATCCGCGCTATACAGCAAACTTCTGTCCGAGGTGCTGTTCAGCACGTTGGACCTGTCGATCGCTAATTCTCCATAAACAGATAGCCTGTTAACCCGTTAACTTTGGGTGGAGGGAATCCTGCAGCTGAGCCACCGCGAAGCTAGAACAAATGTTTCACTGATTGCGTTTGAGTTAAAGAACACAATACATACCTCTGAAGCAGACACCTACCTCATAGAAAATATTTGGCTAGCGTTTATGTTTCTTTGAAAACCTTAAAATGTGATTGGTCACGCACTATACACTAGCGGTAATTTTACAAATTTGTTCGGCCTACCTACACTTGCAATGACTGCGGTTTATCAGAACTCAGTTCAACCTCACCAAGTTGCAGCATTTACGTTTGTAATTAAAAAGGATTTGAGGTGAATTCAGGACAGCCCGAAAAAAATGCGAACACATTTTATGTTCTGCCTGAGCTGTACCACGACGCTGCTCCCAATATCTATTCGGGTACAATCCGTTAGTTTGTTGACCGATCAACGTTGGAATTATGCGTTAAAATGTAGCTTAATTCTACGCTAGGGCGACGATATGTTTCTGAACCGCACATGGCATCTCAAGCTACTTCGTTCAACGAGCTACGTTTGGCGATGTGATCTCACTAAGCCAGGATGATGGGTAAACATGATATGATTGATCGACACGCTTCGGTGTCACAGTTGATCATGCTTTCTATACAAAACTCACCAGCATGACAGACGGTACGTCGTGTCCTGGATCCTTGCCACGTCTATAATGAGGGTATGATCCAAATCTTGGAAATTGAAGGACTCACAGAGACTACGAGTGCCGTTGAGCGTCTCCAGGGTGATTGCTCAAGGCAGTTCATTATAAGTGGGAAATCAACTCGCACAGGTAGCAGCACGCGGAATTTCGGCTGTATTGCGAGGAATATTTGATGAAGTTAGCATACTCGCGCTCATCGTAAGGGTTCGATCGAAACTATCGTTAAGCCCAAGCATTACCAGGTGGTGTTTGCCAAGATCGTGATACTTCATGATTAAATCAAGCTTTTCTTTTGCTGGTTACCGCCAATAATCTAAAGTGTAGCATTCAAAGTCGAGTCCAGTCCCAAAAAGTTGTCCCTATCAGAGCCCACGCATCAAATTATATATCGCCCGAGAGTATTCCAAATTTGGTACGTGGTATTGTTCGTTATTCTCTCTTGTGAAACTTTGTGAGTTCTTGGGTAAAATTCGATGCAGTGATATAAAAAATTTACGTTATTCTAAGCAGGATTTGTTGAAGAGATGGCGCCTGCTAACAGCATGCAATACGCGCCTTAATGAAGGCTTGGGCGCCATGCCTCTAAACAAGCAGGTGGTAGCTTATGTCATCACTATCAAAGTTGCCAGCTCATTCAAATGGGCAGCAAAGTTAATGAAGTAACAGCTGTTAAGGTACTTTAAGATCGTGTTATTTTGTGCTTCTTCAAATCCTTGGACCTCATCTAGATGGAGAGGTACGGGAGTAGATTCGCCAAAGAATCAAGCATCCTGATTGTGTCGTGCTAGGTAAAGTCCGAAGCCGCGTTATTTGGGCCGCTCCTGATATCAAAGTAAACCTTGTTTAAAAGGTTTTGGCGCGACCGCAAGATTTAGCAATTGACAAGAGCTGTAATGCTTACAGTTCTCAAACCATGACGCCGGTTGAGATAGGTACATCAATGCTGGTTCTGAGCGTATAGTGAAGCGCTCCAAAGAAAGCTGAATTCATCTTGGAGTCGACGATGTCATGCCGACGAAGATTTATGAGATCCCCCAGGTGGTCCCCACATCGAAGGTAGATGGCTCCTTGCCCCGAACACGCTGAGTAGGACCCAAGGTACTAGCAACAAGTGGTATTAGAATTTTTGGCATCAACCAGACTTCCAGATTATCTTGGGCCAGCAAACTGGCGCGTTTTCCGTAGGACAGTGCGCTAGTTGGGTTGGAAGATACTTTCGTCACAACTACTGATCTTAGTACGCAAGTATGCACTGCGTGCTATATGAACCACGAAAATCTGGTAATCAGTCGTGTACAATTCTGAACGAGATGACCGTCTTGGTATAATGAAATGGAAAATGTTCGTCTCCCAGTACGTCGCCCTGCACCTACTAAAAATTTTCAAGCCAAATACCGTATTTTTGTTTTGGTGCAGTCACACTATGCACATTTCATGTGACACACACCCCTTTTACCAGGGTACGTGTAACCCCGTTGCACTCTCCCCCATTAAGGTTGAGAACATTTACAGTTCCAATCGATTATTGCCTCAACGAGGCTCGCGTGTCCGCTA